AGCACCCCCTGCACACCTCCCCGTACCGTCCGAGCAGCACCCCCTGCACTCCTCCCCGCACACGTCCGAGGAGCACCACCGAGGGCGGAGGGCTGGCCGGCGTGTGCAGTCTTAGCTGGCAGCAGTCATTCCCATGCTTTTCCTCACTTTGGAAAATCATTAACGTTTCTTTAAAGCGGCCTGTCAGGATTTTGGCCCCATCACTCAGTATGACCCGCTCTAACAAGAATCGGAAGGGGGTGTCCAGCACTGGGGGCTTGGGCTGTGGCACTGGGCAGTGCAGTGCCCACCATCAGCCTGGCAATCACTCCGGCTCCTTCAGCCCAGGAGCCCAGACCAGCAACCCTGAGCAGCTGCTGTGAGTGTCCGAGCCCGGGCACTCATGTAGACCCCAGATGGTCAGAGCTCGGGAGGACAGGGCCCCGAGCTGGCCTCTCTGTCTCGAGAGTGTGTGCCTCTCTCGGGTTCACCGAGAATCGGGGTGCTCTTACTCCTGGGCCTCTGCCTCTGCTCAACATCTCAGTGCCAGACCTTTTAATAAATCATCACCCCTCGTGTACTTTACTCATCAGAGAAGTCTGCGTTCTTACTTGGAGCTTTGATACTCTAATTTTTCATTTCTTTCCAAAGAGGCAGTGTATTAGCGCCCCCTATGCATGCCAGATTAGAAACAGCTACTGTTACTTTTAATGGTGGGGATCTCCCAGCTGCCCTGTGGAAGCAAGAAATACAGCATGATGGCAGAAAACCCGCAAAAGCCCACGGTGCCCTGGGCTGCTGGGCACACCCTGTCACACCTCCCCACGGCTCGCCTTCCGGGACGCCTGTGTGAGACGGTGTTCAGGAACCAGAGTTAACAATAATGCCAATGATGGTAGGATTTTAAACTCAGTTCTATGGACCCTGTTTAAGAAGAGATTCCACCCACAATTAGTAGAATTCTAAAAGTATTGGCACTGAGGGAGCTCTGGTGGCCTAGTGGCAAGAAAGTGCGCTGCAGTCCCGAAGGTGTGCGGTTCAAATCTCCCAGATGCTCCGCTGGAAAAAGGAGGGTCAAATTGCCTCCTGGGCCAGTTGGATCTGACTGGACAGTACACAGCATGAAAAAAAAAATAAAGTTAGTACTTCTGGTAAAAAAATTATTGGCACTTGATAAACTAAGACTCTGTATACTTAATTTCCCAGTGATGCAGGATAATGAATATTATTCACTAGTGAGTCTGAGTGTGCTCCTTTTATCAATTATGTCATATTTTCCAAACATTTTAACTGATGTGATTATTAAACTAAATCATTAGTGTTTCAATTTTATGCTAATACTCAGTTTACCTACTTGTTTAAATGAAATTCTTTCCTTTTTTTAATGTAGATTTTGAAGCAAAGGGACCTCAGATGGTTAACACGTTGTAGATGTATTTTAATGCCAGGAGACATGCCCACTTCTCGAAAGAAAATGAACGTTATTTTATATATTTCTTAATTGTACTGTTTTATTGTTCTAAACAAATGTGGTTTCAATATTGCTTTGATAACAAGCTGTAGTCAGTAGTAATTCTAACTGACGGCAGGCAAACGAGTCAGACAATCTCTTGATGCTGGATCTTAAATTTTCGGAGGAACCGAGCCAAATGACTATAGGAATATGAAGTGTGTCTCTAAGGAAATGTCAAGTATTAATATCACAGTGAGTGAGAAAGGAAGTGCGTGAAGCTGGAACAATTGATGAAAACCAAGTCCCCAGCTGAAGGAGACCCCCGAGCTCTTCGGCAGAGTGCTGGAACACGACCAGCGCCAGGGCCTTTGGAAAGGATCCCTGTGCTCAGAGAAAGGGGCCCTGTTTGGCAAATCTTCCATCTCTTTATTTCTGACTCACACTTCTCGTGTCAGCCTACCAAAAAAGCTCTCTACCTTCATATTAAAAAATGAGTCTCCCCGCTACTATCTCTCCCTGTCGAAAGGACTGAATGAAACAGATGAAGGCGCAGAGTTCTGTGAGCGGGAAGCTGTGAGTGGCAGCTACGTCCCTCCACTCACCCTGTGGGCCTGCTCAGCCCAGCCCCACGCCCTCCAGCCCCAGTGTCCAGCCTGAGACGAGGTCTGCACTGATGCCAGGAGAGCCTCTCAGCTCAGAAAAGCTCTATGTGTTAACTCTGTGGTAACAGAGAATCCCCTTCCCTGGGTTCTCATACGGCTCTTTGCACTGCACTGCCAGAAGGCATGTCTGAGACATGTGCACATCCCTCTCATGGGGGTGGGTGGGGAGACAGGAGTTCCAACTCAGCAGTCACATGCTGGCGCCTGGAGGGCAGCTCATGTAGCCATCGTCTTTCGACGGAATTCTACAGAAAACCACGTATTGTTTTGAGAAAGCATGGTCTGTGAGGAAAGGATGTGTTCCCTTACCACAGTTCACTGTGGACATCTGTGCTTAGACTGGGAAACTGTTCATTGGGAAAATTGACAATTCATGTGTGTATTGCTCGTGGTGCGTTGTGTTTGTGTAAGTGTTGGGATGACATTGTAAAGAAGGAAGAAGCCGCCCTGAAGTCTGCCCATGATTTCCTGGGTGATTGTAAAGTTCAGTGGGCTTCCAGCACCTGAATCCACACTGATAAGTGAGGGTCAAGCAACAGAGAAACGAGAGGGCAGCGTAGACTCAGCGCTGCCCAGCGATCAGAACGCGGGCCCCATTGACCGGTGCATTGAGTTACCTGTGGTGTGAAAACGCAGCAGCCAGCGAGCTGTGTTATTACAAAATGTGCAAAGAGTTAGAGTCAGAAAACAAAAAAGGAAAAGCTCGCCTGGCATTTCTCAAGCTGAAAGAACTGAAAAGCAAATTCAAGCCTGAGATTGCGGGACCGAGGGAGAGATGCCATGGGCCAAGTCTTGAATGATCCAGGAAGCACATATTGAAGACGGAAGGAGCACATCCAGTCACTGTCCCAAAAAGAAGTGATCGACACTGAAAAAACTCAGGAGGGAGCATATGAATGGACAGGAGCCAGCGGCGATGAAGTTCAAGCTGCACCAGAGACACCGGCAAAAACAAGGCCCCAGGAGTAGGTGGGATACCGATCGGCAAGTTCCAGCTAAGCTCCAACCATGAATGTTCTCACCTGTCTATGCCAGGAAGTTTGGAAGACAGCTGCCTGGTCCAGTGACCAGGAGAGATCCATACTGGTCCCCATTCCCAAAAAGGCGATCTGAAAGAATGTGGGAAGTATTGAACAATGTCATTGATGTCACATGCAAGGAAAATGTCGTTGAAGAACATGCAAAAATGGAGCAGTACACTGACAGGAAACTACAGAAGTTCAAGCTGGATTTAGAAGAGGCCGTGGCACCAGGGATATCATTGCTGATGGCAGATGGATCCTGGCAGAGAGCAGAGAGTACCAGAAGTGCATATCTATCTGTCTTTCATTGACTATGCAAAGGTATTTTACTGTGTAGATCACAACAAAATGTTGCTAACACTGAGAAGAATAGGAATCTCAGAACACTTAATTGTACTCATAGCAAATCTATACCTACACGAAGAAGCTGTTTTCTGAACAGAACAAAGAAACACTATATGGTTTAAACTCGGAAAAGGTGCACATCAGGATTCCTTTCTCAATACCTGTTTAATGTGAGTGCTGAGAAAGTAATCTGTAAAGCCGGACTCTGTGAAGAAGAATGTGGCACCTGGGTTGGAGGGAGACTCATCAACAACCGGTTTATACAGGTAAACAGTCTCACTTGCTGAAAATGAGGAGGAGCTGAACCACTTGCGGTGGAAGATCAAAGACGGCGGCCTTCGGTATGGATTACATCTCCACGTCAAGAAAACAAAGATCCTCACCACTGGACCAATCGGCAACAGCATGATCGATGAAGGAACGATTGACTGTCAGTGGTTTCAACTTACTTGAATCCATAATCAGCATCCTTGGGAAAGCAGCCAGGAAATCAGGAGGCGTATTGCTTTGGGAAAGGCTGCTGTCAGGGACCTCTCCAGAATACTGAAGAGCAGTGATGGCAGCTTGAAGACTCAGGTGCACCTGATTCAGGTCATGGTCTCTTCAGGCACTTGCTGTGCATCTGACAGCTGGACCATGAACAAGGATGACAGAGGAAGAACTGATGCCTTTGAGCTGCGGTGTTGAGAGTGCTGAGCATCCCATGGTCGGCCACGAGAACAGACAGAGACGTCATGGAGAAGGTGCAGCCAGAGTGCTCCCCGGAGAAGAGAAGGAGGAGGCGTCATCGCTCGTATTGTAGCCAGGTTGCTAAGGAGAGGGCATTCCTTGGAAAGGGATATCACCCTTGGAGAGGCGGAGGGTCAGCGGAGGCGAGGAAGACCCCCAGTGAGATGCATTGACACTGCAGCAGTGGGCTCACGTGGGTCAGAGACGGTGAGGACGGCATGGGATCCGTCAGGGTTCACATCTGTCGTTCACAGGGTCTCTACGGGTCATACTTGACAGCACCTCACAACAACAACAGCAACTAGTCCTTTTGAAAGCTGTTGATCACTAGTTTGGACTGTTTGCCTATTTGTAGACAGATTCCCATTACTGTTATTGTTGTTGTTAAGTGGCATCAAGTCGTAGGCAACTCATAGCAACCCTGTGAATGAAAGACCTGAACACTTGCATAACTTTCATCATTTCTCCAAGCTCACGGATTTTCCAGAGGCAAGCTATTTACAGAAGTGGATGCCACTCCTGCTTCCAAGCTTGTTTTAGTCAGGGAGCACCACCAAACACTGTCCACCATGGGTCACCATTATCACATTTGACACATCAGTGTCACAGGGTTCGGCTTCACAGCAACCACAAGTTACCTCTGTACAGCAAGTGGACGACAGACCAGTGCTATCCCACTTAGAAGAATGTTTGACCAAAAACAATTAAAAACAGGCCTGAGGGCTGCAGATTAAAGTCACCTTTGGTTTAGTAGCATCACTTTCTCTCCACTAGGCCTACGGAGCTGTCTCGTTGTTCTTGTTGTTGTTAGAAGAATGTAAATGTTGACCCTGTTAATTGACTGAAAGGGTATAATTACAACCCAACAAATTCCAGGTAGGCTTGCTGTGCCATACATTGTAATTGCAGAAAGTGGTAGGGTACGCTGGGCACGGTATTTCACTCAAAGAATTTGTTCGTACTGAATGAAAACTGGAGAGGACACAAGGCTATCAGTCTTGCATTTTCATGTGAAAATTTTCCTAAAAAGAGCTTGTTAATCTCAAAATAGCGTATGGCTTCAGATGGTGAGAGATGCAGAGGGTTATTCTCTTGAGAGGCAGTGTGCTCCTCTTGAACTCTGTCTTCCAGGAAGGAGACCAAGTAACTTCAACGTCCTCTCTCCATGCAGGGGTGCACTGGGGGCTCCCAGACTTCCGCCTTCTGTCCCGTGTTCTTCATTCCCTCGCATTCCTTTTATCTGGATATCTAATTGCCTCTTGAATCTGCATCCCTCTTTATTTTAAGCATTTTACTCTGAGCCCAATTTCAAAATGAAATCTTGCTTATTGCAGTTCACAGGTTTATTTTTATATGTTAACATTTGTCATTATGTGTGGTACGACTATATGAGATCTTCCCATGACTCAGTTTGAAATTAGAACTTTCACTTGACAAGAGTTTACTCAGGTCTTTGTATTTCCAGTGAAGAGGTTGATTTCAAGTTTTGATAATGATAAAATTTGTCTAATATTTGAAGATGTCCATTTCAGAAGCATGCCTTTTTCCTAGTGACATGTAACTTCTAGATAAAGATCTTTTCCAAGGACAACACTTTTCCAGAAAAGAAATCTATCATTACAATACTATTTGCACGTGGTAAGATATGCCCAGTACACTCAAGTTTCCTGTGTTCCACACTCGTGAGAACTTGATTTGGGATCTGCATGGATGTTTTTGGTGGTTATTTTGGGTTTGGTGGTTTTTTTTTGTTTGTTTGTTTGTTTGTTTGCTTTTTTTTTTGCTTTTAAAAGAAAAAAGCAAGAGCCATTTAGAAAACACTTCAAAGAGTTTTCCTTTTGAATTTAGTTTTCTATTTTGTAATATTGTGTTGTTTATTCTGGTAACTAGACTGATAAAACTATTACAGCATTGAATATGAAAGTTACAAGTTGACTCTTTTTTGTGAAATCTAATTCTTTTTTCTTATGAAATCTCTAGGCGATGTAGTTACAGGAAGCGATGCTCAGGCTTCTGTTCCTGTCCAGGCTCTAACTGACCTCCAAGGTACAGTTGCTATGACAACATAGCGGTTACCATTGCATTGTCCCCAGCCCCATTTTTTCCGCTTTGCCCACCTCCATTCATGCTGTTGTTATCAGTGCATTACCATCGTATGGCCACCGAGTGGCAGTGTTGTCTAAGCAAACGTCCCCTCATGCCACAGCTTGGCCATCCCTGCTAGCTGGAGTGGAGTTTTCTGTTAAGTGTGGACCAGCCGCCTCCTTGCTCAAAGTAAACCCCTCCTCCTGTCTTTTGTGGTTCTTTGAGCGCCCGGTTCCGGGTGGCAGCTCACACCAGGGTGTGAACCTTTTTTCTCTGTGTCTAACCACATTGATTCTGAGATTAGACAGTCATATACCTGACTATCCAGGGACACTTGCCATTTTTTTAACCTTAACGGATTATAATCTGGTTTTGAAATATGCTTTTAACTACAGGCTTAGTGCTGGGCGTTGCACTAACAGAATAAAAGTGCAGTGAGACCTGTCCCTTTGCCCAGTGACCACCAAGTGGTTTAAAATACACCACGATTTATAAATGTCATGGCATTTTTGTTTAAAATTTAGAAAAAATAATTTAAGTAACAGAAGATGTGTTAATCCACATTCGTCAGCTCCTGCAGCATTTCAGAATGCATTGATAATGAACATTGACCCTTTATGTTTGGATTGTGTCATCTTTCTGATGAAATAGAACATTGGCAAGATTCCTGGATAAATGGAGGTCAAGAGTAAGACTGTCAGGGAAGGACCTTCTAAGAGGGGTCTTCAGATCTAATTCAGTCTAACGAGATAGCAATATACATAAAAAAACACATACACAAAAATACAGAAAGGAAAGAAACTAGGGGATAAGAGAGATAGCAGTAGGGACAAATATGATTATTGTGGTTTCATTAATTATTAAATTAAATTTAAAATAACCGCATAATATAGTCATACTATTAAAATTAAAATCTGGTTCTGATAATTTTATGTATTCAAAATATCCCTGGTTTTTAAAAATAAATAGCATGGTTCAAATCCACCAGGTGATCTGCTGGAGAAGGAGGGACAATGTCCTCCTGTACCAGTCAGATCCGATTTGATGGTACACACACACACACACACACACATAAAATAAATAGTAGAGTGGCTTGATATTAGCTAACGGTCGATGATATTGCCTTAATATTTTAAAAAGACGGTCCTGTGGCATCTTAGGGCAGCAGCCTCACATCTGTGTATGGGTTTCCATTTCACAGGTACGTTTTCTGGATGCATCTTCCAGTGTTAGAACCAGATGACCTTTAACAAGTTTTCCAGCTCGGGAATCCCAGGAAGAGCTGTTAATTCTTGGCATTTATTAAAAGATCTGCTCTTTGCTAGATGGCCCCTAATTAAGGCTGTGTTTTATTGTTGTTATGTGCTGTCAAGTCGCCTGCGACTCATAGCAACCCTCTGTACGGCAGTTCTGAAGCCTGCCGTGTCCTGAGCCAGTCTCACTGACTCTGACACACCGACTCCCACTGCCCCAGTTACTGTATCAGTTCATCTCATCTGGAGTCTTCCTCTCCTGCACTGTTCAACCACCCTTCTGAGGATATTGTCCTTCTTCAAGGATCGATCCCTCCTAGGCACATGGCCAAAGTATGTGAGACAGAGCCTCTAAGGAGAAACTTGGTTTTACCCTCTCCAGGACAGACCTCCTTGTTTTCTTGGCAGTCCATGGTTCAAGACTCTTCTCCAGCACCACAACTCAACTCAGCTTCTTGTGTCATCCTTAGTCATTGTCCAGATCTCTGATGCATAGCAAGTAACTGTGAAGACCATGGCTTGCATCAGGCGCACCTTAGTCTCTAGACTAAGCTTATGGCAACATGTATAATATAAAAGGACAGAATATTCCCAAATGATTTCTCTTTAGTTTTGTCAGTTATTTCACATAAATTAATGCTGCCGTTATCATCTGATATGGTGAGGATTCACAGGACCTAATTTAGCTCGCTAAAATTAACTTCTGAGCCTTCTGCCAGCATTTTACCAAGGATTCTGTTACTCCAAAGTTAATTGCTGCAGAGTGAATTCTTGCCTTCTCTGAAAGGTAAGGGTCATAGGACACAATTTGTACATATAAAAAGGAAAGCTGAAGCTAATTTGTTTATTCTTACCTCATGTTCTGTCCTATTATATAATCCGCTCCTCTTCAGACAAGGTCTATAGGACCCCTGCTCCTTTCCTGCCAGAGTCCTGAAGAAGGAATACGGCTTCACTGAGATGCCCCGGGTGACGCATGCTGTATTAAACTAGACCCTCTCATTTGTCCGTCTGTGCTCCTTACCAAGTGCCTCCCACACGCCAAGCCTTGTTCTCACAGCTCCCACGCCAGCTTTCTTTGTGTTACTTGGTCTTTAAGCTGAGTTTTGGATGATCCAATCATGACAACTCAGTCGGGAACCAGCCCTTTTCTGGGTATCTGGCTGAGAAGGGCCCCTGCGATCTGCTAAGACAGTTTAATAAAGTAACTTTCAATTTGTGATGGGGAATGCAGGGCCAAGACGAGACAGTGGGGTGATCCTTCCCAATTAAGGCAATCCCTTGTCCTTTTCTCAGTCCATTTCCCACAGACACACGGGAGGACAGAATGCCACTTGGTGGCTCAGTACACATACCACCTTGTTTATGTCGGTTAGACACGACAGACAGGAACGGCTGGTAGTCCTCCCTTCCTCCTGCCATGAAGAATGACCGTTCTAACTGAGGGGCCTGGACAGGTGCCAGGCCACTGTGACAGGTCATGAGAGGCAAGCACTCCATCACCCCCTCAGGGAAGCAGCACTGGGGCCACCACCACACAGGAGCTGAAGCACCGTCACTCCCAGACGGCAGGCCCACTCCCAGAGGGGAGGCCCACTTCCAGAGAGGGCAGGACCCCCCCCCAAGGGCAGACCCACTCCCAGAGGGCAGGCTCACTCCCAGAGGGCAGGCCCATGCCAAGAGAGCAGGATCACTCCCAGAGGGCTGGCCCACTTCCAGATGGCAGGCCCACTCCCGGAAGGCAGGCCCACTCCCAGAGGGCAGGCCCACTCCCAGAGAGGGCAGGACCCCCCCAGAGGGCAGACCCACTCCCAGAGGGCAGGCCCACTTCCAGAAGGCAGACCCACTCCCAGAGAGGGCAGGACCCCCCCCAGAGGGCAGACCCACTCCCAGAGGGCAGGTCCACTCCCAGAGGGCAGGCCCATGCCAAGAGGGCAGGCACAAAAATAATAATAATCAGCTAATGTCTGTAATTGAGGGAAAATGAGGTACAGAAAGTTCTTTATGAATGCTACCGCTAATTTAGAATTTGGTGGGTCAGTTGGACCCCAACTGACCTCAGTATGATCACCAAAAAAATGTTTGCTAAGCAGAATATTACTTGAAAAAGCCACCAGTGGGTCTTACTGCCCCTCAAGGCAACAGATTGCCTTCACATCCCTTCTCAATTGTGTATTCTCAATTGTGTAAATAGCTAATGACTGACTTATTAAAGCAGGCACCCTAAACATTTCTTGTAAGTCCATCATTTTGTTTATTGTTACTTAAATGTGACAACTTGCAGTGGTTTAGAGCATCAGCCGCTCTCCGCTGCCCTGAACCTCCAGCAGCTGCTGTGAAGAAGGATGGACACCCGCCTTCTGTGCGTTTCACAGCCTTGGAAACCCACCAGCGAGGTAGCTTTGAGCAGGTTCTCCCTCCACGCCAGGACCGGCCACCCGTGGCCACTGGACACGTGAACTGTGTGCCTTTCCTATGAACGTGCACTGTCCCCTCAAGAGTGGACTATAAAAAACTTAATATAAAAATGTAGATCATTTTTAACAGTAGCCACATAATGTAATAATACTATATATTATAGTAATGATGTTATTACATTGGGCTAAATAAGATACATTCTTGTTAAGATTAATATATTTTTTTTTACTTTAAGAATATGAATACTAGAAAATGGAAAATACGCATGGCTCATATGATATTTCTCTTGGGAAGATGACGCTTGTCCATGTCTTTTAGGCCCTTCCAAACTGAACATTAAAACCAAGGGAAAACCTCAGGCCGATTCCATCAACTCCGTTTAGCTCGACACCAGCACTAAGCTCTTGTTGACCCACAGCGACTTCCCCTGTACGTCTTCCCAAAGGCAAGGCTGCCGATGACCGCGGTCCGTCACCTTGGTGGGACCTGGCTCATACATGGCCGGGGACTGGCCACTGAATGTGGAAGGCCTGGCCAACAGCTATGTTTTGTTTATATAAGAGATTATCTCAAAATATTATCATATTAAATATTATGTAGTTAAGTGTCCCAAACCTTTGATTATTTTTTGTGAGTGTGTGTAGATGATGCCTCAGTGTTGCTGTCTGCAGTGCAGCAAGCATTAGTATGTGCTGGCATAATCTTTAAATTCAAGCACATCTGAGTTTAACACACAGCGTTGCTAGCTGTACATATAGCTGTGTGTCCTTTGACAAGTTAACGGACATCTCTGGGCTTCCCTCTTCTCGTATCCCATGCCACATTGTGATTTAATGAAATACCATGTGTAAAATCCAACTATGATGTGTCCTAACATTCTTGCAAAAGTCATACTGCTGAAGTGTCCTTGAGTTTTCTGATTCCTTCTTCTGTGAGGAGCCAGACTAGGGAAGTGTTTGTGGTGTGTGTATACAGGGATGGCGTGAGAACAAGAAGAAGTGAATGGGATTTGGCTCTAAACCCAGACCCACAGCTGTAGATCAGTACATGTTTGTAGCAACTAGTCACTGGATTCCTGAGGCTGTAAATCTTTGCTAGAGGAGACTGTCCGTGGGTTGAGAGTAGTCAGTCTTTGGCTTGGCAGCCCAGCATGCTGTATGCCCTTCCAGGTTATATTATAGTGTGTGGGTAAACTCTGGCATCAAAGAGTCAGTGGCTTGGTGTTAATTATAACTTCAGCATTCAGTTATTCAAACTGGGAGAATTCTTAAGACCTTTTTTTGCCTTCATAATGTAACTCTACAATCTGAAATTGACCATGCTGTAAAGACATACAAATCAAAGTTGATGTCTTGAATACAAGAGTTGGAAACAAAAAAGGAATGTTAATTGGAAAATGTAAAGATTTTTCCAAAGATTGCATGCTAGAATTCTGTATAATCAATGATTTCATCATTATAAATACCTTTTCTTAAGAACATAAATGGTGATTTCACACATCGACCTTCTCTAATAGAATATACAGGAATCAAATTGATGACATCTGTGGAAAGACATGGTAAGAAGGCTCAATGTCATCTCCGCCATTAGGTCAAGGCCAGGGGCCATCTTAGGAACAGACCGTCAGTTATTCATGTACAAATTCACATTGAAGCTGAATAACATTAAAACAAATCTAAGGACCAAAGTGCAATTTTAAGTTTATCCCCCATGCATTGAAAATCCATCCTAGAAATCTATTTGTTGTGTTGAACACTAATGACTGAAGACGAGGTTTGTTGTGGAATGGCAGCAAGGATTTGTGGAAATTTAATTTTTGTTTAAAAGACAGAGAAAAAAGCAAATAATAAAATGGATATCAGAAGAGCCTTTGAAACTTGTTCTTCAATAAAGAGAAGCTAAAGTGAAGGGAAGAAATAATGAAGTAAAAAGAGTTGACTAGAAGGTTTCAAAGGGCGGCTTGAGAAGACAAAGCAAAGTATTAAAACAAAATGTGCAAAGACTTGGAGTGAGAAAACCAAAAGAGCAAACTTGACATTTCTCAAGATGAAAGAACTGAAGAGAAAGGGGAAAAAACAAACATTTCGAGCTTTGAATTGCAACGCTGGAGGATTCTATGGGCAAAATAATGAGTGATAACAAAAGTTATCAAAAGATGGAAAGAATACACAGAATCACTGTTAACAAAAAGGTCAACACTGAAGCATTCAGGAAGTCACAAGATCTAGAGCCTTTGTTACTAGAAGAAGAAATCCAGGCTGCAGTGAAGGCGTTGAAGGTTCCAGGAGTGGAAGAGACGCTTATTGAGGTGTTCCAGTGAACAGATGTGACCCAGTTGGCTCTGCTGAGAAATTTGAAACAGCCGCCTGTCCTGCTCACTGGGCAAAATCGATACTTTCTCCAATTCTAGAAAAGCAGTAACCAGAGTGTGAAAACTACTGAACACGGTCACGTCAAGCGAAATCCTCCTGAAGATTATCCAAAAACGGCTGGAACAGTACATCGACAGAGAACTATCAGAAATACAGGCCGAGTTTAGAAGAGGCCATGACACCAAAGACACATTATCACCAACGTCAGATGGCTCTTGGCAGAAAGCAGAGAGTACCAGAGGAATGTCTATCTGTGATTCATTGACTACACAGAGGGAATCCCAGAACTGTTGAGTGTGCTCATACAAAACCTATACTGGACCAGGAAACTGGTTAGAGCAGAGCAAAGAAACATCACATGGTTCAAATTCAAGAAAGGGGTACGTCAAAGATGCATCCTGTCTCCATACCTTTTCCATCTATACGCAGAACAGGTCATTTAGTGGGCTGGGCTTTATGAGGAGGAATGTGACATCAGCATTAGAGGAAGACTCATCGACAACCTACCTTATGGAGATGACACAACCTTACCTGCCGAAACTGAGGAGGACCTAAGTCATTTGCTGCAGAAGGTCAAGGACTGCAGTCTTCAATATGGATTAAAGCTCAACATCAAAAACCCAGATATTCTCATGACTGGGCCACTTGGCAGCACCATTATTATTGGAGAAGAGATTGAGATTGTTAACAATTTCAGCTTGCTCGGCTCCACACTCAACCCTCTTGAAACTAGCATTCAAGAAATAAAAGAATTGCTGTGGTGAAGGCTGTGTCAGGGACCTCTCAAAAGTGCTGAAGAGCAACAGTGTCAGTCTGGAAACTAACGTACCCCTGATTCCAGCCATGGTCTTTAAAATTATTTGCTATGCATCAAAACGCTGCAAAATGAGCAAAAATGACAGAAGGAAAATTGGAGCTTTTGAGTTGTGGTACTGGAGAATCGTATTGAACATACCCTGGACTGCTGAGAACGAACAAGTGTGTCCTGGAAAAGGTGAAACCAGCCTGCTACTTGGAGGTAAAGAGTTTGAAGCTCCGTCTCAGATATTGTGGGTGTGTGGCCGGGAGAGACCAGTCCCTGGAGAAGGACATCTTGCTTGGAAGGGCAGAGGGGCAGAGCAGGAGAGGAAGACCCTGGCTGAGATGTTCTGACATAGTGACTGGGGTGATGGGGAAGGTGTGTAGGAGACAGACTATCTCAAGACAGAGCAGAGTTCAGAGCTATTGTATGTAAGGTCACTGTGAGTCACAGGTGGCCATAGCACATAACAATAACGTCATTATTACCACATGCAAGTTAGATTTAATTTAATGCCTGGGGCCACTGCTGCTCTCAGGCCTCGCCACACCCACTGAGCAGCCTCACTGTACCTGTCCGACCTTGACCGCTGGATGCAGTGGCCACGACCCTGGCCTTCTCTACCCAGCTGTCCCCTCAGCACCACACTCCTGTCTCAGGAGAAGGGCTTTGTTGGAATCCCAGGTGGCCAGGTACGTGAGAGGACCTTTCGAGAGAGACTCTGTGAACCAGTACCTCACCCCCTTCCAGATGCTTCTCTTAACATGCACACACTCCCCTCCTGTCAGTTCCCACAGGAAGACCCTCCATCAGCGGACTGTCCATCTTTTTCCTGTGGAGCCCTTGTGGGGTAGGGAGTTGCAGCTGACCCCTCAGCCCCTTGGCTGCAGGAGATGGGCTGCAGGAGTGACCCTTGGAGGGTCGCTGAGGTGGACCGGCCTCACATCAGTCTTTGCTTCATGGCAAGGAAAAGAGACGCGCTCTCTCGCTTTCTTTATTTTATAGCATTGTAATTACAATTTCATTTGATGATTGATGTTTTGCTTTATAACATCAAGTATAGTGATTAATTCATTAAAGTCTCTGATGAAAATGTCTGTCTCTCTTCCCTTCACCTCACTTACCTGTTTATTAACTTGTAATCCCTTCTCCTTCTCTTCCCATCCCGGGAAGCACCTAGGAGTGATTCTGTCTGTAAGTGAACCTTTCCTTAGCTTGTTGAGCACAGGGTCCCTTTTCCAGTGATTTCTTTGCCTCCTGTCCTCGAGAGCTCTGGTGGGCGAGGAGTTGAACCCTATCTGCGTTTTCAAATCCACCAGTGTCTCCTCTGGAGAAAGATGGCCAGTCTCCGCCTGTACCAGTTCCAGCCTCCTTCCACCTCCTGGAGGGTCAGCAGGGAGTCACCTCTGACTTGATGGAAGTAAAGGAGAATTAATATATACCACACCGTCCATGTTTCTCAGTGTTTTGTTAATTCTCCATTGTTTGGATTGGAGTTTAGGGTTTTGTTGTTCTGGGGATTTTTTTTTTAGTGTCACATCGTACTCAGTTGTGTGAATGTCTCATAGTTTCTTTAGAATGAGGCTCTTTTAAAAGGAATTTGGTCAAGGACATGGATTGCCTTTTACCTTGCTATGATGATGTGAAGTAGAATAGCTTTATCCTCCGTTAAGAATAATTCCATCAGTAAGGAAACATTGCAGTCATGTAACACGCACATACACACACACATGAGCAGTTCTTTGACTGCCTTTAAATGACACATAGAAAACCACAGCAGTACTTCATAATTCCTTTTTTAATTAATTGAATAAAGGTTTACAAATCATATTGTTTTTCTTACAATCATTTATAGACTTCATATTTCTAGAAAAAGTAAAAATAGCGCCTAGTATGAGGTATGAACGCTCTGGTGGCGCCATCCGTGGGGAGGGGTGCTGTTAACGCGAAGGCTGAGCCCCTCGGCGGTTCGAATCCACCAGGGGCTCTGTGGGAGTGACGTGCACAGACTCCCCGCTCCATCTCAGCCTCATAGAACCCCAGGTTCACAGTTGACTCTGTTCCTACTCAAAAGAGAACGAGTGAGCCAGTCTGACAGTTGAAATGCAGGCGCTTCAATACTCCATGTCCATTCTTCCTGGACAACGTGGACAAATTAGTGTCATGATTGATCATCAATTGTTAAAAAAGCAATAAATTCAATAGGTTAGTGAAAGAGTCTAAACAGAAAACTGAGTTGCTTCTCCATTTTTCTTACAGGACAAACTTCTAAAAACATCAGTTCGTCTCCCAGCATCGAGAGCCTGCCTGGCGGGAGAGAGTTCGCCGGCTCCCCACCTCTGTCTGCGACAAAAAAAGATTCCTTTTTCAGCCACATCTCCCGGTCCCGCTCACACAGCAAGACCATGGGCCGAAAGGAGTCTGTAAGTAGTGCCCTTCGTGTGCCCCTCAGCCTGCCTGTCCCTCCAGGGATAGTGTTCATGACCTCCGTGGGAGAGTCTCATCTTAGGAAGCTCTTAAAACACTTAGGTGCTAAAATCAATGATTTCATCAGACGTGTCTCAATTTTATCATTTAGTATTGTTTTAAGGTGGTGGATTGTATTACGTTGGGGAAGAAAGTTAACATGAATTCAAAGTCTTGGAATCTGCCTAATGCTCAGCTTTTTCTCCTCTAAGTACGTTTCCGTCAAAGCCTGGGAGAGTTCCCCTAACATTTAACCAGTGTCACTGTGCCAAAGAAGAGATGAAACGAATCAAGATTTTTGAATATTTAGGGAAAAATTTAAAATAGTTATTTACTGTTCTGAAAAGTTACCCAAATGACATTTAAATTCTAGCGTTTTGGGAATGCTCTTTGATGCTTTAGGTATTTCTCAGAATGACATCTCTAAAGCTTCATAACCTGGTTGTGTCTTTTATAACCTAACGTCCCCGCGCGTTAGCCCCAGGCCTTTACTAGCTGGACCCCTGCTTCTCTGATAGAGAGAGTGCATCTTCCCACCTGAATGCAGACATCGAGCTGACACAGGACCGGAGGTGACTGAAGGTTTCCTAAGTGCAAAATGATGATCAGTCGTAAGACTTTCGAAGTTTAGATATTTAAGTCACATAAAGTAGAGAGTAACAGGGTGTGTACCTGTGACTGCGTTATCCTGGGCAGGCCACTCACTTCCTGGTCCTCCAGCCACCTCACCTGCAAATGAATCATCAGACTGTGTCCTCTGAAGGCCAGCAGTTGGACTCAGTGCTCTGTTGTTGTCATTTTCAGTGCATGTTGAGAATGCTGTCGCTGTGTGTTGTCAAGTCAGAACTGACTCATAGCTGACCCTCCAGCGGGTTTTCAGAGGCAGTAAATAGCATCAGAGGAGATTGTCCATCCTTCTCCAGTGGAGCAGCTGTTGGATTTGAACCATGTGCCTTCAGGATTGCAGTGCAGCTTCTTACCTACTAGGCCACCAGAGCTCCCTATATCATAATGCGTTGTTGACCATCGAGTCAGAACGGACCCATAGCTGACCCTCCAGCGGGTTTTCAGAGGTGGTAAATCACACGGGAGGAGAGTGCCCATCTTTCTTCCATGGTGCAACTGGTACAGGAGCCTTTGGGATTGCAGTGCAGCTTCTTACCACGAGTCCACCACAGCTCCCTCATATTATAGTAATCTTACCTTGGGCATGTTGCCTGGAGGGACCGCTCCTTGGAGAAGGGGCTTGGAAGGGTGGAGGGACAGCCCAGGAGAAGAAGACTCCAGATGAAATGGATTGACACAATAACTGACTAGACAGTGGGGGTAGGTGTGTCAGAGACAGATTGACAGTGAGACAGGGCAGAGTTCCCAGCTATTGTGCAAAGGGTCGCTGTGAGTCACAAGTGACTCGATGGTACAGAACAACAGCCACCTTTATGTTACAGAGCAGAGTGGCCCCCGTGAGCCTTCCTATGCTGTGAGGAGCCCAGGTGGTGTGATGCATTGCACGTTGCACTGCTGACTGAAAGGTCATCAGTTCAGATCCATCAGCCCCTCGTCAGGAGAATGAGGCGGTGGTCTGCCCGCATCGAGAGCCCCAGCCTCAGAGGGTGGAGGGGCATCATGACTCTAAGTCAGCTCCGTGGCATTGGGTTTGTGGTTCATTACTGTTAGTTTGGTTTGAGTTCAGGCCTTACTGTCACAGAGCGCAGTGTCTTCTCTTCGGGGGAGCACCTCATGGGCTTGAACTGTGGGCCTTTCGTTTAGCTGCTGAGCTCTTAACCCTTGCTCCATGGAGTCTCCTTTCAAGAGCAGTGTTGTTATCGTTGTTGTTAGGTGCTGACAAGACGACTTGGTGGCACTTTCTCAGGATCTGTTTGTTCTTTTGGCCTTCCATGAGATTATTCAATACTCCTCACCAGCACCAAAACTCAAAGGCATTGATGGTTCTTCAGTTGTCATTAGTCATTGTCCAACTCTCAGATGCATAACAGGTGATTGGAAAGACCATGGCTTGAATAAGGTGCACCTCAGTCTTTAAGCTGACATCGTTGCTCTTTGGCGCTTTAATGAAGTCTTTAACAGCAGCTTGTCTTTTGATTTCTTGACTCCAGTACCACGGGTGTGGATTGTGGGTCCAAGTAAGATGTAATCATTGGCAATTTCAATCTTTTCTCCAACTCAAATGATGTTGCCTGTCCGGCCAGTGTTTAGGATTTTTGTCTTCTTGATGTTGAGACACTAACCGCATTGAAGGCTGTAGTCTTTGATCTTCTCCAAATGTTTCCAGGCCTCCTAACTTTCAACAAGTAAGGCCGTATCCACATAGCACCGGGTGTTGATGCCACTTCCTCCCATCGTGATGCCATATTCTAATTCATAGAATACCGCTTGTCTAATGATTTACTCGCTCTACATAGTGAAGAGATGTGGCACAACCCTTATCCAAGAACAATGAGCAGAGTTAATCATAAGCCTTCGAAGAATAAGAAAACAGGAGAGAAGACAAGAGCAAAAAAGTATGAAACACAATGTGAATGAAGTAGTATGAAACACAATGCATATGAACTTTTTAAGCAAACCAATATAAATAAATTTAAAAATACGTGCAATGTTACCTAGAAGTGGCAGGTAGTAATTTAGTGACCTGAGTAAGCCGAGCCTCAAGTCATTAAGGCATCAAAGCAGAATGCAATTTGGTTTGCATTACAAAGCCCTCTAAAATCTCAGGAAATAGAAAAAGGGTGAAGGTCACCTTCTCTTGCGGAAGCAATTCTATTGGCTCTCCACTTTGACAGAAGCTTGGAGGTTCCCTTCTCTAGATAGGATAAAGCAGTGTTTCAGACAGAAAAATGAGGCACATGAGTGTGGGAACACCCCACTAGAAACTTGGGAACACTTAGCAACAGTAGAGTAGTCCTTGCGGGCAAGCACGGCAGCTCTTTGTATCTCACACTTTGCTGGGAGAGGCTATTCCAATGGAAGGGACATGTACTTGGAAGGGTGGTAGGTCAGCAAAGGAGAGGAAGTCCCTCAACCAGATAGGTTGGCACAGTGACTGCAGGAGAGGGCTTGAGGGTGTCAGAGATTATAATGATGGCACAGGACAGTGTTAGGTCTGTCGTTCATATGGCCACTGTGGTCATACTCAACTCAAAGGACGTAATAATCGCAGCATACATTGGCTAGAATTTACACAGAAACCATGGTGTCATCTCACTGTCATGTGCTGTTGGAATCGACTCTTAGATGACATGCTCCAGCAGATTTAGAGAGGCTGTAAATCACACAAGAGGAGTTTGCCCACCTTGCTTCTAAGGAAGCAGGTAATTGAGTGTGAATTAATTCTAAGCATGCTATCATTCCATGGAGAATATGAGGGCGGTGATGCTGGTCAACAGAACTCACTCTTTCCTCACACTGGGAAGGGGATGGATAATAATCTGGAATGATCTAGAAAGAACAGTATAGAGATAGCGATGCCAAACCAAGCAGAAATGGTTAAAAAATTGACAGTGATTCCTCCTGGGAAGCAGGAAGTGGAAATTAGTATCATGAGAACTGTTTTTCATAGCAAGCCTTGTATATTCAC